TACACAAGTTATTCGTCACCCCCCAGCTATTCTGCTGCAGCCACCCGGACTGCGGCACCTACTAAGAACATAGAACTCAAAAAGAGATCTGTGTTTCTTTTTCCTTGCAAGTTATCCCCCAAATCCAGACTGAACCAGCAATTACACATAAGTAAGACTCTCTTAACAAACTGGGTTCTCTGAGGACTGGTTGCAGTCCTTATTCAGGGGGTTGCTGTCTATCTCCATTACATCATAATGCAAAAAAAAAAAACCAAAATTAAAAACGCTGCACATGTCATAGAATTAAAAGATTAGAGTTGGATAAATCCTCAAATTTCATCTGGTCTGACCATCCATACTTTCTCTCAATCCCTAACTTGCCAAGAAGTCATTCAATTTCTGCTGGAAGATATGATGTGATAAGGACTCCATTACCTACCAGATGGTTTATTCCAAAAATTTTACTGGATAATTCTAGCCATAATACTACTTTTGGGAAATCTTTGAAAACAGGTTTATTTTCCTAAGTTAATAAAGTAGGATGAATATGTTCCTTCAGACCTGCAAGCAAAGATGAAGCCTTTTACATCCTTCTGAAAAATCAATGGTATTTTTCCTTTTTCATGCATGTTCTTTAGATATTTGAAGAGAGYTTTCTTGACCTTCTCTCATGCTTCTGAATATTCTCTTCCAAGAGCTAAACATACCCAGATACTTCAGTTGTTCTGTTTATGATGTGGTTTCAGTACCATTTCCTACTCCGGATTCTTTCCCTTTCCTAACAAATTTAGCATGATATCCTAAGTGTGGCCTGGTAACCATACTATGCTGATAACTGCATTGCCAGTTAGAATTCCAAATTTTCCATCAAGAGAACCTTGGGTAAAGRTTTTTGCCTCTCTGTACTTCAGTTATCTCATCTACAAAAGGAAGTAATAGCACCTATTGTACATGGATAAAATAATAGTGGCCAATATGTTTTAAGTACTCAATAAATATCCCAGATTATTATTAGAATAYGTGATAAATGTATAAATATGCACAGTTACTAACATGTAGACACTACTGGATAGACGTAAACTCTAGAGTTATCTGAGAAACTAATAGAGAATAAATGAATCACTTAAGATCATGGAAGTAACTACTAGCAGTAATTAGGATTGATTTTGTATTTTTCCAGGACAATTACCTTTTCAGATTCTCTTTTAATTTTTTCTCTGGATTCATTATCTTTTTCTTTTGCTTCTTGCAGGCTGTTAGAGAGGGGTAGGGGAGAATCATTCATAGCACTCAATATAGAGTATATTAAAAGGAAAATATCTCTAGGTAAGAATATTCCATTACATCTATACCTCTGTTTATTTACCTCAGGACTTGAATAAAAGTAAATGCATATACCTCCATATCATTGTTCTGGGTTTTTTTTKGGGGGGAGGGGGTACAAGTGTCACTTGACCACTGAGCCACATCCCCAGCCCTGTTTTGTAATTTATTTAGAAACACAGTCTCACTGAGTTGCTTAGTGCCTTAATTTTGTTGAAGCTGGCTATGAATTCACAATCCTCCTGCCTCAGCCTCCTGAGCCACTGGAATTACAGCTGGGATTACTGGCATGTGCCACCTTGCCCAGCTATGGTTCTGGTTTTTAATATTTYTTAAAAAATAAGACACACATGTAATAGCAAACCAGTGAACAAATTTTCACTGTGACATTTCTTTTGTAAAATACAGATATTGTCCTTCTCTCAAAAAGAAATTAGGATATTGATGAGAGGTTAACAYTTTTTTCTACTTGTTAGTACCCAAAGATTACACCTTTGGATTATTCACAACTGTGCCCTGTGTGCAGAAAAGAGAAGGCCTAACCCTTTTATGCCATTAATTCCAGGGAAATTTGCCCTTAGCACATGGGCCTTCCTTGATGGTAATTCAAGTACCTTTCAGGACACTAGGAGAAAAGTGTGCTAAGTATGTAGCCTCAAAATAGTAAATCTCCAAACTCAATGCCTATACAGCCYTCATTATCTACCTCCTGGAGAGACCAGCAGGGTCACCCTCTCACCCACCRGAGCTTTCCTCCTACACTCAGCAGCAGCAGTGACTGCAACCTACTCACAAGAAGGCCTCACACATGGAGCAAGTGTTGCCGTGGATTTTCCCATCCAGGCCCTCAATGGGGTCATTCTCTCTGGTGCAGGGGAGCCGCCCATCCTTCACATACTGACGGTATTCACTGCACAGCTTCTGCCAAAAGGAGGATGATTTCAKAATCAGATAACAAAGCACTGGAAACCTTCCTCCACTTACCCTTTTGAAAACTAAAACACAATGCCCTACAGCATAATGAATGCATAGAAAACATGATGCAGAAGGAGAATATTAGCCAAGATTWTTTTCTCAGTGGCCTAAGCCATACATTAATTGGAATATAAAGCAGTTATATTCATCTCTTTAGAAGCTCTTCAATTCAAACATTATTCTGAAGCAAGCACTGTGGCAGATACAAAGCACAATTTATTGTCTCTTAAATTTGCAAAGGAATTTKCGGTACGCAGAATAATAACTCTCACTCTCACCAATATGTCCAAGTCCTACTACCTGGGACCAGTCAATAGATTACCTTACATGACAAAGATAAGGTTAAAGGCCTTTAGATGAACAGAGTATCTTGGGTTACCCTAATGGGCTTCATCTCAAGAACCAACCCCTAAAATTGAAAGGAGGAGACAGAATAGAGAGTGAGATATGATCACAGAGGAAYAGTCAGAGAGATGCAGTGTTGCTGGCTTTGAGATGGAGGAAGGAGTCCAAGCATGTGCAACACAAATGGCCTCCAGAAGCTACAGAGCAGGACATGGATTCTTCCCTAGAGATTCCAGAGAGGCAAGCTGCCCTGCCAACATTGGATGTTAGCCCAACTGGTATGTTTGTYTAACTTCTATCCTACAAAATCATAGATAAGAAATTTACATTGCTTTAAGCCACCAAGTTGTGGTAATTTGTTGTAGCAAACATAGAAAACTAATACAAAGTGTTTACTTTTTTAGAAAAAAAAAGAAATTATAAGAATTAAGCAAATTTTGTAAAAATAAAGGCATTTTCTTGCATAATAAATGATAGAGTTATTAAATATATTATTCAAGTGGGGGAAATCTTTAGGGAGAAACTAATGTATATTCTGAGCCTGAATTTTTATTTAGTCAAGGAAATTTCCTAAGAGCAAAGCCATATAGAAGGCAAAGTTGTTGAATAATTAGTGAATAGTGCAATGTGACACATCCTATTGGGTAMTGAGATTACACAGATAAATACAATAAATTCAGCAACAACAGATATTACATATTGAGTGCTTAAGATATGGCTGAGGTTATGGCTCAGTAGTAGAGCACTTGCCTAGTATGTGTGGGTTCAATTCTCAGCACCGCATATAAATATATGAATAAAATAAAGGTGCATCAAGATCTAAAAACATGTTAAAAAAGATATGGGAGACACTGTGCTKTTATACATAGATAAGTTTCTTATAAGTAATTATAACATTCTCATTTTATAAATGAGGAAATTAAGACATATAGATTTTGGCTATCTGAACTTAACTTGTAAGAAGACAGAGCAAGGATTTGAACCCTGAGAGCACAAGTTTGAATTCAGATTTTTAACCATGATATCATGAATTCTACAAGACAGAAAGACGTGAATTGATTCTTGGCATGTTCAAAAAGCAACAAGATGGTCAGTGTAAACCAGCAGAAGAACGGTATGTAGAACAATAGGAAATGAGGTCTGAGATGTGACAGGGATCAGACCAAGCCTGGCCTGTAAGCTACTAGAAGGACCTCAGTTCTTACTCTGAGCTGAGAGGCCTTTGGGTGACATGGCTTGCCTAATGTTTTTAAATGATTACTTTTCTCTCAGAATCAAAGATAGACACTAGGGAGTACAGGTAAGAGGTAAGAGAAAAGTAGAGATGAGGTCTTGTAAACTAGAAAAGGATAAAGGAAAGAAGGGACAAAGACCTAGGCACAGCYCTTCAGGCATATTAGCCCTGTTGGGCTTAATATATAAGAAGAAAAGGAGTCTTCTAATCCACCGGGATCCAAATATATTTCCTCATCCTGCAGACACTAAGACCCTGGGACTGGTCCGGTAGGAGACAGGTTGAGGGAGAACGACATTGAATATGTATGTGACTCTGATGATTTAAAACAACTACCTCCACGGCTTCTCTCTTAACTTTTTCAGCCTCAACTTTCTCTGTTTCTTCTTCGTTATGTTTTTTCTTCTCCTCTTCTTCAAGCATGCTGCAATAGAAGATCACAGGCTGAGTACGATTCTCCACTGACTTTGGTAGCATGTTTCAAGAAGGAATGAGGAGCTTTCAGAATGAAAGTCAAACAGTCTTTATGACACTTATACCCACCCCAACAAGTGCTATTGTTTTAGCCAATGTACAGATAAATTAAATAGTCCATATCCCCTCTCTAAAAAATAGCAATAATAAAAAAGCCTGAATTTAATCAGCTTATGCCCCTCTGTTGATCTTATAGTCTATAGATTTTATGACTTCAATCAGTGATCTATAAGAAGCCACGATTGTTTTGACTTTTTTTAATTGTGAAACTTTTCCTATACAAATAACTACCACATCAAGGACGAGAGCAAAGGGTAATGCCAAGTTCAATGATAAACCCATCATCATATAAAACATGTTTTATGGGCTAGGGTTGTAGCTCAACAGTAGAACACTTGCCTAGCACACGTGAGGCACTGGGTTTGACCCCCAGCATCACATAAAAATAAATAATAAACAAAATAAAAGTACTAAAAAAAGATACCATGTTTAAAAAACATGTTTTACCATAAAATACAAATTTTAAATATTATTTTAGAGGATCTAATGTTCATAGAGAAATTTTAGTTTGAGATCATAACAGTGATCCTAGTTCAGTAATTTTAAGCAGCTACTTTTTTTTTTTGTACCAGATATAAGCCACATCACCAGTGATTTTTATTATTTAGTTAGAGACAGGTTCTCACTAAGTTGCTTAGGGTCTAGCTAAGTTGCTGAGCCTGGATTTGAACTCATGATCCTCCTGGCTCAGCCTTTGCAGCCACTGAGATTATAGGTGTGTGCCACCAAGCTCAGGAGCAGCTCCTTTTTTGAGRTTGATCATAAGCCTAATGCTTTCATTCTCTTGTCATTTCCCTCTGACATGTGTCATGTCATGCTGGACATTGTGAGTATTTACCAACTCTGGTTATTACCATAGCACCAGCAAATGGAAAAGATGAGAGAAAAATCCTGATTTCTTGTCCTCCCAGTCACTATTTAATCTAATGCGTCACTCTGTTAATCTTTCTTTTTAAGAAATTACCTGCATAAACTTAAGGTAAGACCTCTGTAATTGGAAACTATTATTTTGTTGTTGTTATTGTTGTTTCTTTAAACAGACATTTAAATATTTTTCTCCACATTTATTTTAGAGTGATGTTCAAGAGGGAATTGGCAGTCTAACAAGGAAGGAATTAGAATTGATAAAACTCAGCTTCTCTAATGCCCCACACAGTAGAGCTCCAGCCCTCAGGTTTATCCATAGCAGGAACAAACAGAAAGGCCTAGCAAGCTCTGACCTGATTTAACATTTCAGTACAAATCTGGCACATGAACCTGACTCTCAGGGGTTTCCCGCCACACTAATACACTTTTCAAAGTGTGCATTTCACTTGTRTGTAGCACTTTCCCTGAAAGGGTAGACACAATCCTCTCTATTCCACTTCTCTGTCTTCTTCAGGTTATTATAACAATCTTTATGTCTCAGCCCCACACACGTCTATTCAACTGGATTACCTTAACCCACATCTGAATATACTCACAGAGTGGTAATATACCAGAGGAGGTAGAGGGACCAAAAGGAGCATGCAATCCAGACCATGAAACTTCTGCCCCCTTTTTGTCATAAATAAAGRGTGTCAAGTGTTAAAAACATATCAACACTAAAGGGAGACTTTTCCTTTGAGTTAATTAGAAGATAGAAGGAAGACTGGCTTGAGAATAACACTGTCACTGTGTACTTCAGTAGTACTTAATGTCTTTTCCATGTGTTTGTAAGATTTTCTAGTTGACAGTCCATGGTAGATATACTACAGATGTAGGAGGAATCTGAGGCTCAAGGTGAACAGTGATGAAGAGAGTCAGAGGGAGAGCTGGGGTGGATACCTACAACACACTAGAACACATGGAACACTTGTTTCCATGAATTTGGCCATCTGGGCCAAAAACAGGGTTGTGCTCTCTGGTGCATAYGAGTGATCCATTTCTCACGTAGTTCTGGAATTCACTGCAGATTTCCTGGAAAACGAAGAAAATATTTTCTCAGGTCAGTTTTCTATCCTTTCTACCTTTGAGGAACAAGTCATTCATGGCAGTGTAGACAAAGTGAGGAAAAGTTATGACATATAGCAATAAATCAGTAAAGAAGTACAAAGCTCCAGTCATACACTCAAAATTGCCCTGGTGTTACATCAGATCTGTAACCATCACCATCATCCTCCTGAGGATGCCTGTAATTATGGTGCAGAATCAGGCTGACGAGTTGGGCAGAGTTCAACAGAAAACATGCATGATTGTGTCGTGACATATATTTCAATCTATCTGTAAGAGTTATGAAAAACCATGGTGAGGAGAGTCAATAGGCCTACAGGGAAGCCTTCCTAGAGGTGAGAGAGAATTGCTGAGTCAAGGTTTGTCTTTAGCAAGCCAAGAAGAAGAAACACTAGCATGTCCATCTTTGTAGATGTGAGCAGAAAAARTATAATCCCRGGAGAAAGCAACATCTTTCCTAGAGTGAAACCCTGTCCAGGGATGGGGAATGAGGATTTAAATCAGGAGGGTACAATAGGAGAGGAGAGAAGGAGAAAATGGGTGAGGAACACTGGGAATATCAAAGAGGCCTTGGAAAATGATCAAATATAATAAATGAAATAGATTTTTAGTTTTAAATTACTGATAAGAAACCCTTGCAGCTAATAAAAACATTTATTATAAAAGAGTTGAATGAACCTTTCCCAACTAATGGTTAGGTTCAGACTTTTGTAGTTGTTCTTTAAAAACAGAATTGAATGCAAATTGTGTATAAGGCTACTGTGTGAAACCAGCAAGCTTGTTTATTGTGGGTTCTAAGTGCTTCTCATACATAGATGTGTGTCTCATTCCCAAGATTCAGAAAAGTTTTCTGCCATTATTTCACTGGAAAGGTTATTAATGCCATTAGTCTGAATTTCCTCTCCTTCCTGAATGCCAATTATTCTTAAGTTCAGTTTCTTAATATTGTCCCAGATTTATGTACCTAATGATAGTTTCTTATCTGTTGTTTTAATTTTATCTGTATATTCAAAGTCAGCCAACTTGTCTTCAAACTGAAATTTTGTCTTCTACCTGATCTAATCTGTTGAAGAGACTTTCAACTGAATTTATTTCATTGATTGTGCCTTTCATTTCTAAGATATGTGTCCGGGTCTTCCTCAATATTTCTATTTCTTAATTGAATTTCTCATTCATATCCTATACTTGTTTCCTTATATTTTTTCACATAATTTTCTATGTTCTCTGGTTCGTTGGTCACTTTTATAATCATTCTTTAAATTCTTTATCTTATGTTTCATCCACTCAATCTTTGGAATAAGTTGCTGGTAAATTATGAGCCTTATGGTGACACATTCTCTTGTTTCATTTTCATAATTCTTGTATTCCTATATTGGTATTTGTTCATCYGTTGGGATGGATTTCTCTTCCACTATTATGTGAAGGCCCCYTTAGGGCATAGCTCTCTCTTGATGAAATGTTCCAGAGCAWCAGGTTATTATGAATATTCTTCCAAGGGGGTTTTGTAGATTCCTATGGCTTCTGTGGTGATAGAGTATCTTGACACTTGTTGTGTTAGTGCTTGAGGATTCCACTTTCTTTGTAGATCTCACAATAGTGGGGTACATCCAGTGGGTCAGATGTTGTATGCAGCAGTGTATATAGAGTACATTCTCTGTTATTGCTCTTCTATGCTTCACAATTCTGTTGTAACAGGGTACAGACATCATCTATATTAAGGTTCCTTATAGGAGTTGTGTCTGCAGGCTCTGTGTTACTTCTCTCTACTGCTGCTGTAGGAGTGAATGTCTGTGAGTGGTTCTAAGGCCACCTCACCATTCTTAGTTGGGACATAGTTATCAGTTTGGGGTTTAGGTCTCTTCCTATCCTTTGAATATTCAATATTTTTTATAAAAATGAACCTCAAAATTTGAATAATCATAAAGCAAAATTGGTATTAGAAAAATTTCATAAAGACTTCCCTTTCTTTTTTTTAAAGGATAAGAGTTTTCTTAGTTTATTTCAGACATGAAACAAACAAAAAATTTATGCTAATGAGATAACTAGAATTCTATTATATAGAAAAATTGCCAAGAAACAAAGTCAGTATTTCTGAGAAAATTACCTTTGCAGCTTCCCTTTTTTCTTTTGCTGTTGATTTTTCTTCTTGTTTACTACAAGGGACAGGAAAATAGAGAGAAGAAATGGATCTTATTCCAGGAGAGCAGATCTTTCACATTTATAGATTGATCAGTCACTGCTTTGATTATTCTCAAGATCCACCCATAGTACTTTGTCATTGTATTTATAATCAACTATAAAGGTTCACCACACCTGAAGACAATAGTGTTTAAGAGGAAGTCCCTTTATCAATGAGTAATCCATTTAACTTCCCAGCATGTGCACTGCAGTAATATTCTCTGATTTGCTTCTGTGGATGCTTATATAAAGTGGTAATATTTGGTTTGGGCAGCAATACTGCAGAGTGGTTAAGGGGAAATACTCTGGACTGAGATCATCCTAGGAAAATGAGATGCACCTTAGTCTCCCTATGCCTTCCTTGTTTTTAAATGAAGAGCAATAGAGATATAGGACRGGTAGTAAGAATACCTTTCTCATAAGAATGTATGGAGTATTAAGTGAGTTGGTACACTTAAGGTCACTAGAACAGTACCTCTTACATCATCAAGTGATTAGCATAAATGATATAAGGGACTGATATCATCAGCATTATCATCATTGTAAGTAAACATTCCAAAAATAGGCATAGGATAAAATGAAGTGAGAGCAATAGATCTTTCTATGTTAGACAATTACTAGTGTTGCAAACTGAATTTAGTGGTTGGACCTATAGCATAGCTGGTATATGACACAAATGAATCCTGCTATATAGAGAAAAAAATGCATAATTTGTTAAAATGTTTTAATGATTTCTAATCAATACAAGATTTGACCATCCATCAAATTAAAACATTTTTAAAAGATGAAAAKATTATTTTCACATGGTATGAAAAAGTGCAAAAAATGACAATGGAGGAAAAAAGATCATCAAGAAACTCAGTAACCTTTGTTAGCATATCCACAAAATATGGGTAATAAAAGTGTTTTTGAATAGAGATTTTGTATTTATTGGAGAATTTTTGTATTTATTGTATTTATTAAAATAGGTTTAAAATGTGAGATTTTCATACTTCTTTATGTGAAAACTGATCTAAACAAATCCAAGTTGAATAAATATTTTAATGAGGAATGATCAGAAAAAGCAGCAGAACTGACCACTAGGTGGCAGAATTATTTCCTTGTCTTTAAAAAATGTAGAGAAAAAGAAAAACAGATTGAAAGAAGCCTATCTATAGGCAAATATATCACCAGTAGTTGGTAAAGCCTTGATAAGAGATTATGTCCTGTCTACACTACAGTGAAAAGCATTTTATAATTTTTTTACCAACATAAAACATAAACTCAGCTGATTTTCTGCCACTCTTAATTTCACTGGGCCTTCATCTTTTCATTTGTAACTTGTGATAATATAGAACCTATTTCATATGATTATGATGAAAATTAAATGAGATAATGTGGCAAATCTTATCATATGCCAGACAATTACATCTATTCAATAAATGCTTAYTATGATACCKAAGTCATCATYRTATTGACTTTCCAAATAGAAAAGATTTTTGGAGTTCAATGGCTCTAACATTATGGGAGAAATCTGATAAATTAGACTGCCTCTACCCCTGATCCAACAGAGAAAACTTTTTGAGATCTTTTGCACAATATGTAGACTGTAATTAATAATATATCATGTATTTCAAAAGAGCTAAAAGAGTATATTTTAAATATTCTAATTACAGAGAGATAAATATATGAGGTGATTATGTTTCTTAGGCTGAATAAATCATTCCACATGTATATCTGTATAAAAATATCACATTATCCTCATAAACTTTAATGTTGAGAAAGTAAATTGGGAAATACTTTTAGTCAAAACATGAGTTAGGGGAAATTGTAGATTCGTGTTTAAGGGTCCATATCATTTTACTTTTTTCACAAACTTCAGGTTCCCTAAAATAGGTAACCAACTTCTACACATGGAAATCATTATCCTTAAGTCATTATCTATATGKTACTATTCATGTTAAACCCAAATTTTCCTCTCTATACTTCTTATCCATTTTATTTCTATTCCCTAAATTCACACAGAATTGGTGGGAAGAAAAATAGTGAGCAAAAGAAAAAAATCTCATAAAATTTCTATGTAGTACAATGATACTTTACTTGTAATATCATGTATTTTCTTAATTTGACTAATAATATTTCATAGAGTTGAAAATAATTAGTATGATTATCATAGACCAATCTCCAATCTGGATGGAAAATTATAAATTACTTCTGAAATGCCTTATAAGATACCATTCTGCATCTCTTTTGTGAAAAATTGTTTTGACAAATAACTTCTATTCATGAGGATAATGTGATATTTTTATACAGATATACATGTGGAATGATTTATTTATCTCTCTGTGATTAGAATATTTAGAATGTACTCTTTTAGCTCTTCTGAAATACATGATATATTATTAACTACAGTCTCCATATTGTGCAAAAGATCTCAAAAAGCATGCCTCTTAATTGAAATCAGATCCTCTAGTTGAGATTTCCTCATTTCCAACACCCATCCCTTCCCAACCCTGGTCTCTGTCTATTTCTATATGTTAAGTATTTGAGATATCATAAATATATCAGATCACACACTAGTTCACTTTTACATCTTGCTTATGCTGTATCTCGTATGCACTTCTAGTCTGAAAGTTCTCCATTTGCTTTTATGATTTGTTGGTACTTTTAAATATGACA